CCTATTATAGTTGTGTCCCACACCTAGGAAGTGTGCCATATACCCTTGCATAGTGTCCATTAGGTGGGAGCACACCAATCTCCCTCTTTCCTCCTCTCCTACCCCTCTCTCCTTCCCACAATTTGAATTAAATTGAGTTTTTCTCTTGTATGGGTATGTATTAATTCATCTACTGGCTTCATATTAGTATTGAGTACATTAGATATTTGCTTTTCCATTCTTGTGATACTTTACTATGAAGAGAATGTTCTCCAACTATAACCAGGTTAATACAAAAGATGTAAAGTCTCCAGATTTTTATGGCTGAATAGTATTCCATGGTATACATATACCACAGCTCTCTCTCATTTTCAACTCAGAAACTGTCCCTCTCCTTTCACAGCTCATGACTTTCTTTCTACTTCCTTAGTCCTCCGGGACACTGTTCACTCCAGCTCCAGTACCTCATCCCCAGGATACAGCCCCCTCCAGTTCTAGCTGCTTTATTCCTACTTTCCTGGAGCAAATTCCATTTTTGTTGCAGGATTCTCTTTACCTTCCCAACTTGTCCAGTGGAGAATGCCAAAGTTCAGTCCCTGGACCTCCCCCTTCTTTTCTACTGGCACGCCCCTAACCTCATGGCTCTGACACCATTACGTGTGCTTATGCTTCCCAAGCCCCAGGACCAGTCCAGTTCTCCCTGGGCTCCAGTCTCACATACCAACCTCCTGTTTAATACTTCCACCTGACAATCCCAGGGGCTTGGCAAATACAACACGTCCAGAGCCAAACTCCTAATCTTTCCCCACCAAATCTACACGTTTATAGGCTTCTCCCTTCTGGTAAATGGTAACTTCATCCTTCTAGGTGCTCAGACCACAGCTTTAGAGTTGCGATATCTAATAGCCATTTTCACTCTTAAATGACCTAAAAGTTCAATAAAATTAACTCCGTTCCTCAGTTGTGCCCACTACACGTGGCCAGTAGTTTCTGCAGATCATAGCACAGGCACACAGCATGCCCACCACACACAGCATAGCAAGTGCAACTGCACAGAGCTGCTTTGGGATCTTCCTTGTATCATCTTGTTTGCTCTTAACCCTCATCCAATCCTACAAGACCTAGTGTCAAATATGCCCAAACATCAAACATCTAGCCACTTCTCCAGCTGAGGAGTCTTGTTCCTGGTTAAAAAGCCATGTGATTTTTCAAGCCTAGCCACAGTTAGTTTCAAAGTTGTGCCATCATAGGGGAAGCTGCCCTCCCCACTGTAGTCCTGGGTGCCTTCATTCCTAGGTCTATTTAGCTGGCCACTACAGTCAGTGGTTAGCATGCCAGCCCTGCACATCAGGGGCTCTGGGTTCGAGCCTGGACTAGGCCTGATAAACAGGTCTAGGTCTCTTTGAGGCTTGGGCTGAGGTCCTCTCCAGGGGCCTCTGCTGAGGCCTTCTTATGGGGAGGAAGGGGCAACCCTGAAAATACCTTCCCTACCCTGACTCTACCTTAGAGAAAAAGGCAAAGGCTTTCCAGGTGCTGGAAGGTTTATCACTCTTCCTAATGGCTGTCATCACGCTGCTTCCTTGCTGCTCCCTCAAACATACAAAGCAATATTCTCATCACAGGACACTCTTTCCCACCCTTCATTTTCCCTCCCTCAGGTCCCTACTGAAAACACTGTCCAACCCTAGTCACCCTCTATAATACCCACCCCTGTACCGTCTACTCACCCTGCTCACAGCCTTTATGTTGCTGTTCATAGTCTGACTCTTCCAACTAAGCAGTAGAAACAGACAATTCCTGTCCTTTTTGTTCACATCTATATCTCTAGGACTTGAACGTCACCTAGCAAATACCAGGTTTTCAATAGGTGAATTAATGTTTTGTGGCTTTCTTTTATCCAAATGCTGATGAGCACAAAACTGACAAATTGCCCTTAGTCAAGGAGTAAGGAAAGAAGTGGTGCTATGAGTATCAGACTCACCGCTTTCTGTTCCAGAGATTGAGAAATAAACTGTCCCTCACTATAGACTTTCACTGTCCTTACCTTTGAGCCGAGATCAAACTTGAATTTGCTGATGTCTTCCTCTCCTATTTGAGAGCCCTCCATCCCTTTAGTCTTCATAGCATTGTAAAGGACAGAAGTGATCTTCAATAGTTCTTTCACTGCATACCCATCTGCTTGATAAAGCTTCTTAGTATTGAGTTTTATATGTGCCTTGGTGGCCTATTTTTAGACAAAAACAAAACAAAACAAAACAAGCTTAAGGCCTTTTCCATGTAATGTCTAAACCAAATCCCACAATCCCACATAGGTAAATTGAAAATGCCTCTGTTGACTTTTGGGATAAAACCTAATAGTATTCAGAGGATAGCATTCACGTGACAGTGTGACTAGGTATCTAAACCTTGTTCTTGATGAAGAGCAATTAGGTAAAGGACATCAAAATTACAGATACACATATCTTTTGACCTAGCAATTCCAATCATAAGAACTTTTTCTAGCAATATACTTACACAAAACTAAATCCCCCTTAAATGACCTAAAAATTCAATAAGATTAGCACAGAGCTGCTTTGGGATCCTCCTTGTATCATCTTGCTTGCTCTCAACTCTCATTCAATCCCCCAAGATCTATAGTGAAAATACGTCCAAACATCAAATATCTAACCACTTCTCCAGCTGGGTTATCAGTTACAACATTGTTTCAATGAACAAAGTTGGAAACAATCTAAATGCCTATCTATATGTTACATAATGATATATCCAAGTAATCAATACTACTCAAGTATAAGAGAATGAAGACATTGTAAAGTTCTCCAAAATATACCATTAAATGAAGAAATCAAGATGCTAAACAGTATGTATGGTATGCTGCCATTTGTGAAAAAGGAAAGAAAAAGAAGAATGTATACTCTTCTTTGCTTATGCACAGAGGGTGCCAAAAACACATATACATATTTTAAGAAAAGAAAAAAAAATTATTAGATTTGTAATACTCAAGTTATGTTTGACTTCTGCAATTGCAAGAGGTGCTCAACATGATTTGTATTCATCTTTTGTTGTGGGAATATATTGAATATTACAATTTTAGTATAGTTTTCTCCTTTCTTAAAATGTGTATACATTTTTGGGGCACCCTCTGTATGCATAAAGAGACTCTGGAAGAAATTTAAATGGTTAAACGGAATATTAAATTTAAAATGGTTATTGGGAATAAGACTGGGCTGTTGGCAGACATGGCAGAGTCATTTTACTCTATATTGTTTCATGATACTTTTTATTACTTATTTATTTAATTAATTTGTTGTTTTTGGAGACAAGAGTCTCACTATGTCACCCTCACAGCAACCTCAAATTCTGGGGCTCAAGCAATTCTCTTGCCTTGGCCTCCCAAGTAGCTGGGACTACAGGTGCTCGCCACAACACCTGGCTATTTTTTTTTTTTTTTTGAGACAGAGCCTCATGCTCTCTATCCCCCTGGGTAGAGAACTGTGGCATCACAGCTCACAGCAACCTCCAACTCCTGGGCTCAGGCGAGTCTCCTGCCTCAGCCTCCCAAGTAGCTGGGACCA